TCACATAATCACACGCTTATCCGCTAATTTCACACAGTGAGAAGCTTGAAATGCCCCTCTTTTTCCCCCTTCCAATATATGTCCTCAATTGCTGCTTGCTGTATGGCCATATTCTGCCATTGATTGACTTTCCCAGATATTAACCCGAAGCAATCATCAGTCTCATGCCTAAATCTAACCAACCCATCCCAAACTGAAATGTATATGAATGGGATAAGTTACTTCTGATGGCCACTTTACATAGTGTGACATGCATTGTAAAAGCACTTTAAGTTGTCAGAAGACTTGAAATGCACTATACAAGCTCAAGCCCATTTACCATTTACATCCTCCTGTGCTAAAAAGCTTCTGATTCCCTAAACATGCAGGTTTTCCTTCGTGCAAAATTAGACGTATTTAGTTACCACATCATACCAACTGACTAACTTTTAGTTTTGATCAGTAGACAACAGGATAAAGTGGCAGCAAGAAACCGTCCAAATGGTGAAGAAGAAACTGTCAGAAAAGCTGAAGGCTTTCTGCTGGACGTGTACAAGCAGAGGGAGTCAAATACTTTGGATAAGTATTGACTGACCAGAGGGAGCTAGGGTGTGGAGTAAAACTAGCCTGGAAGCTAATTCAAGCTGGTATGGACATGAGGTGAACCACAGGGATGGGCCCTGCCTGAGTGGGCTTGTTATGGTCACAGCTGGAATGTGTCTTGGATGCTGCAGTCTAACCATGGCTATACTTTTCTAAGAAGGGCCCCTTCTTCCGAACAGCTGTGAAGTGGAAAAGATCTGAGCGGTACCAACATGGGTCCAAAAGGTTTGGGGACAGTTAATTAATAACAGAAGGCGGAAAAAAATGAAAGTAGAGAGAAAAGGTCATGAACATAAGACATGTTTGAGGCTAGTATATTTACATGTCGTTGTATTCATGTAGCTAAGGCATTTTTTAATTTTCAAATTACTACAATGACTTACTGATATCATAGATTTTAAATAGATCAATTAATAGAAGATCCTTAAAAGGGTAAAGTTATCTCCATACAACTGCACTGCATGATTCAATTAAAACCGTACCCCATAGGGTTTGATATTATGTAAATGCCAATATGCTAACAAAGGTTTGGATGAAGAAGACCGCAAGCAGGCAGACAGGGATGTAAAAATAGAAGGATTCAAACCCTTTTTTTAAATTCAGCAAATGTTTGATGAGCAAGGACGTGCTTTGCGCACATTTGGTAGGCTGGTATCGTACCATTACACCTGGAAACTAGAGGTTACGTAAGAATTCAAAGAGACTTTTCATGTTATGAAGGTTTATAGAAACAGAAAATAAAATAAATGTGTAGTTGTATCAATTGGAAGCATGATGTTCATCCCTTGGGTTAACTTGGATGTATGCCACAGAATTCTGTGGCTGTTCTTCAGGTTTCTGATGACTATTTTAGTGGACCCTTCCTTCTATTTGTTTTTGGATGATACTGAACTATGCATTTGCTCTTAGCCGATCCTATAAATCTTGGAATGTTAGTGCCATGCTGTGCACTTAGCTGCACAGATCCATTGGTACAGCTGGATCTCAGTTCTGTATATAAACAACCCGTACCAGACCAAATGACTTCACCTGAAAGCTGTTATACAGAGAGGATGTGTCTGGGTCCACTCACTCAAGACCCCTCTCCATGCTTTCCCCATCATTAGAGTCTAGTCTGGTGTTTGTAGTGGCACAAGTCTCGCCTTGTGTTGAGGCATGTCTTTCATCAGGTCAATGTAACACAGACAAAAGAACATTGTTGCTGTAGATGTACAGTAACCGTGCACCTGAACACACAGAGAAACCTAGAGGATAAGTGGTCTGCTTGTGCGAAAAATAAACAGAAAGAGAATCTGACAGCTGGTGGCTGAAAAGGTCCGATTTATCCAGTTCCTGTTTAGTCGCAAAGTGTTGTTGCGAGAGATGGCTGGAGTTAAGGGAATCTAACCTCCATGTTTGCCTAGTTTATTACGATTGATAGTTGGACAGTTGAGAAGCGCCAAATGGACTGGAAAGATCGTTCCTTTATACATTCTCAGCTGCTTCTGTCTGTAGCTAGCTAACATGCCCAGCCTGTGATTCACAATGGAACGACCCCATATGCATTGACAGGCTTGTTCCACTGTGGGAGACACTGGAAGACTGTGAGGGGGGTTGCGGTTTGGCACAGTTGGACTTAGTCAGCAAGTATGTGTATGTGTGTGTGTGTGTGTGTGTGTGTGTGTGTGTGTGTGTGTGTGTGTGTGTGTGTGTGTGTGTGTGTGTGTGCATGCATATCTTGGCAGACCTTTGGGTCTTGCCATATTGCCTCTAATCACACAAGGGATCCATGACTCACTTTTAAACCAGAAAACTAGAAAACATATACATTATCTTTAAATTAGATTATGTCTAGACTTCAAGGATTTCATATTTGTGGCAGATGATAGCTCCGAACTTTGGCAGCACAAATGACAAGAAGTTATGGCTTCAAAGAAAGGAGACAAAAAGACAAAGAGGGTGTAAGTCAAACAGCTGTCACATAGCGGTTTCATAATAGTAGTTGTGCCAAGAGTTTGATGAGTGGTTTAATTAAAGCTACCACCAACAGCCAGTTAGCTCTGACTTTTTTTTTTTTTTTGCAATGGATGGATGTGCAAAGCATATGTCATGACAATTTGCATTTTTCAATGGATTCAAGATACAGAAAGGAAGTGGTGGGAATCTTAAAGACATCCAGAAAGAAGCACATTAGGAAGAGTCAAAAGCCAGGGAGGAAGCGCGGTTAACTTCCAGGCCTGTTTAGTTGAAGGAACGAAACATGCATGGGGTTTCCCTGAGAGAAAACAGCTCTTCATCACGGCCACATTTTAACCCTAAACATGTTAACACGTAACAAATGTCTGGCTTTTTTTCCCCTCCAAGCCCATTTTCCTGTTTCCTCTACCCACTCACCCTTGCAAAACGTCCCCAATAATTTTTCCAGCATGTGCAGCGTAACCACTAATGTCCACGTGTCCACATGCTACTATGACAAATTCCTGTACATGATTTTGTTTTTTAACAAAGTGATTTAGATTCTCTTTTGTATGGACTATTGATAGTCCAGTTAATGTATTGTCTTCTTTGTTGTATATGGCCAAGAGTAGCCTCAGAGATGTCACCTGTTGGTTTCTGAAGAGGCATTCTGAAGCTTAACCATGGCATCACCATACTGAAAATGCCATCTCCACTAACTCCTCATCAATCTAGTTATAGGCAAAGAGTGAAAGAGTGGAGGCAGTTCTTAAGCCTCCTAACGAACAGTAACGACTGTACATGCTCAACAGTTATTTTTCAACCAGGCGCTGAACATGCTTATATCTGCTGTAAAAACAGGCATTTTAAAAGGGTGTTTTTGGGGCATCCTGGGCTTGGGTTAGGGTTAGGTTAGGGTGTCATACACACAATGCGTCCCCCCCACCTGTCAATAAAGACAGGTAGTTTTGTAGGGAGTCAAAGGAAGGCACTGGCCGACGCACGTTAGTTAAAAGTCCTGTTTAGGGGTAAGTCCCAGGGTAAGGCATTCAGAACAGTGAAACGTAACTCAAAGATACCCTGGGTATGTTGAACTCACTTCGTAGTATAGGCCCCGGGTGTGGGGAATATAGACTCTTGGACTCCAGTGCTCTGTGCTGCGGTAGTAGAGGATCGCCATGTGTTTTCTCTTGTTGTCTGTGTGTGCATATACACAAACAAAGAACTTTTGATGAATTTGTTTTAATTACTAGTCTCTCATTGAGTAACTTGGGGTGCTGGGTAGTTTTGTTGCCATATCATTTTTATGGCCTCCCTTGTAGCCTTTGCTATTTGTTCAGTGTTTTTTGGGTCCCCTGGACGATTCTGGTTCGAGTCAGCTTCTTTGCAGCAGTGGTTTAGTTAATCATTTTCGGTGCATTTTTAGAAGGTTGTTTTGGCTCTTTACAATTTCATTGTTTTCTCCCCCCAAAGCGATAGATTGGGTGTTTGTGGTTATCCTTCTGGGATAACTTAAAGACACCCCGGAGTCTGAACCATTGTCCCACTTCCCCCTTTCCTGACAGTGTCAACTTGAGCAAAATATTACTGCCTTTGAACTGCTCCAGAACACTGACTGAGTGACGGCAGACCGTGATCTTGATACTAATGTTAGAAAATGTAAATGTTGCTCCCCCGACCTGGCCAAGGGGTGCCAGGGAGGAGTGTACCCTGCAGTGGTCTGTCTGTATGTAAATACAAAGAAGCAACGAAGTTTAGCTGTGTTCAGCTCGGCTGCAGGATTTATTCTGCAGATTTTGCCTCTTTGGGGTATAATGCTCCTCACAAGTGCTATGCGCCCTCTAGCGACCTGGTTTGGTATTGTAATAACATTGTACTTCGCTCAGTGCACTGGAATCTGGCTTTAAATAGCTATTTGAGATACATAAACATAAACACTTTTTAACTCATTTAGCTTGTTCTTTTAGCAATGAACTGTATTTTCACTATAATTAACTTTTACAATGTCCCAATGGCTTTGAACCAATGAATCTTGTGATCCATTTTTAACCTTTTAATAACCTTTGTTTTTTTTAGCATAAAACGAAACACATTTTTCAACCCTTTACATAAACAAGCTAATTCTAGCTAATTAGTGCTTGCTTATGTTTTGATGATTTATTTCTTGCCCTTCATTTCTCAAACAGCAGCATTATTGACCATGCATGGTAGATATAAAAAGCTGTCTGTACTATTGTAGGCAGCGTAAGGAGAAATATTCTCTATATGCAGATACAGATATATTTCTTATAGGCCCATATCAGTCGGTAGCCATCAATCTTATATCAGGCTTTGCTCACACACAAATGTATGCTGTTATATTATAAAGTGTAAATGGTTAAATAAGATCTCAGCAAGTGCCTGCACTGTGAAACATTAAAAAAATAAACATTAAAATAACCTCTTCCTCTCTTTCCCCTGCTTTTTTCTTTTTCCAAACACAGCTGTGACCAGCCTCTTGTGTGCTGTCACACCAAACCTCTGACAGCCGTCTTCCAAGGTTGACCTGATTACTGAGAGGCCTCCCTTCCTCTCCTTTCCTCTCCAACATCATGCGTCTCCTCACCACCCTCCTTCTGATGCTGCTGCTCCTCCGGTCAGCCGAGCCCCGGAGAGGCCCACGGTCAGGGGTCATGGAGCGGAGCGCCGTGGGCCGTGTACGGGGCAGAGGCAGGGCTGGAGTGATGAGACGGCAGACTCAGGAGTGTAAGGAATACATAGAGGCTGGAGAGAAGTACCTGGACTGTCAGGACCGGCAGCTAACTACTGTGATGCAGGACTGGCCTAAAGATATTCAACATCTGCTGTTGGCGAGAAATAAGATTCAGGTACACCCTGACTCTTGTGAATTTAAAGAGACAAGAGACACTTATAAGAAAAGTCTAACAATAACCAACATGTTTTGAAATGTCAAGTGCAGTTTTGTGGAACAAATGCATCAATTTCCTCCAAATTTACATCTCAAGCTTCTTACTTTGACCGTAAACCCCTCCAGCGTGTTGATACCCTGAGCATCTGTGCACCATTTATTTGGACCCAGATCACAGACACATTTTTCTGCGATGTGTGTTTAGGTTTTTACATGTTGGAGGCAGCCCACAGGATGTGTGTGTGTGTGTGTGTGTGTGTGTGTGTGTGTGTGTGTGTGTGTCACAGGTGTTGAGAGAAACAAAACAAAAAGCCTTGCCAGCGAAGTAATAAATAATAGGGGATTAACGAGATATAAACACTGATTAAAACGGTCAGAAATTAGTGCAATTACACTTTACTTTTGCCCCATTTCACTTCAGAGAGCTGACTTGTTGAATGAATGAGTGGTGAGGTAAAGAATGAACATAGGAGGGTTTAGTTTAAGGTGCATCTTTGGCACGGCTGGATAATTGCATGTTAAACAAATTAAAACTACGATCTGAGTCCTAAAACTTTATTCTGCAATTTGTACTTAAAGCTGCATTATATATTAAAAGGTCATATGAGTATTTCTGATGTGAAATTTTGTGCTTCCAATTTCAAATGCATTGACAACTAAAATCTTGATACTGTACTGCAATCCCATTGGTTCTTATTTTAGTTTTTTTCCGCACAATTTTTTTGCATTATTTTGGTTCTGCTGTCAACACCCCTTCAAAATGGATCAATAGTTCATGATAAGCTGTTGTACATATACAGTAATGGAACTTTAGAATTTGATAACGTGAACCTGTCTCGCCTGTTTGGATTAAAGTGATTGCCCCTTGGTGGTCATTGGCTTTTGCTTCTAATAAGTGATTACACCTGTGAGCGTTTTAAGGAAAATCAACGCCTTAAATCAGTGCAATTTTAGTTGCATACCTGAACTATAGCTTGCAGGATTTGCTCCATTTATTGACAGCAAAAGTGCAACAAGAAATATCTTTTGACAGCAATTACACAGAAACTAACCATTCATGTCCCCCTTTTAGGTTTTGAGGGACAACATGTTCTCCCAGTTCACCCAGCTGAAGAGCCTGGACCTCCAACAGAATGACATCTCCATGGTGGAGGACGGCGCGTTCAGCGGCCTCTCCCAGCTCACCACCCTGCTGCTCCAACACAACGGACTAAAAACAGCCTCTGAGGAGCTCCTGCTCCCTCTGCCCCACCTTACCTACCTCCGTATCTATGACAACCCTTGGAGCTGCGACTGCTCATTGGACAGCCTGATCAGGACCCTGCAGGTGCCGAGCAACCGCAACCTGGGCAACTATGCCAAGTGTGCAGAGCCACTGTCGAAGAGGAGCCAGAAGCTGAAGAAGTTGAGTGTGGAGTCGTTGTGTAAGAATGACAACCAGGTGGATAGCAGGCCAGGGGGTGGAGGAGGGGGGCGACCCAGGCCTCCACCAATCAAACAGAAGCCAGAGGCGACATCTATGTGCCACACCTACATGTTTCCCAAACCTCGGCTGGACTGTAGTAGCAAAGGTAGGACTGTCAAGTTATGTGTCACTTTGATATCTTATATGATGTCATTTTAAAATGTTGAAATTAAATGTTACACAAACTCCAAAGGATTTATAATATGTTTTGATGTTTGGATATCTCATGACGCAACTAGTCTACACATGATGCTTAAGAGTGAAGTTCATTTAAAGCAGCTCTACATTGGTTGGTTGGTGTACACACCACCAGTCTCATCAATGTATCATTTCAGAGAAACTTGGAATACAAATCCATTTCCTCCTCAGGATGAACAATCAATGCATAACACGCAAACCTAAAGTCCACACATTGTATTTATTTCTTATCAGCAACTGTTTAACTGTAGACATTGGTAAGTGATTTTGTGTTAACATGTGGATTGTTGATTGTTTTATTATTTTTAGCTTTTGATACGATGGAGGCAGCTGCATGTGTGCATCGTATTGTATAGTATAGCATGGATAGGTGCTGATGATAAAAGATAATTTTTTTCTGCTTGCTCAGCACTTTTTAGTCTAAATAAATCCTTGCTTGTACAATGCAATTTAGCAAGAGAAAACTTCAAATGTTTACTTTGCAATGAAGCCCAGCAAGCAGATTTATGTTTGTTTAATTAAGACTGAACCTCACAGGGGGAGGAAAAGACACTTGGCTGGTCCTAGTTTCTTAAAACTCTCGCCTTTTTCCCAAACATTGACTCACAGAAATAGCAATTTGGGCTTGCAGCACAACTTTCTAGGACATATCTTACATTTTATTGTTTGAGGTCGGTGTTTTTGGTGAGCTGGATTGTGGTGTGTTTGTGTTCATGTGTGGTCTGTTGTGATGTTTAGCGCTTCTCCGATTTCTGCAAACACAGCTATTGCATTGTATTCTAATTTGAATCATGCATTTCTTAACTTTCTGCAGATTCTTGTTCTCAAACTAATTCAGAAGGCAGTAAAAGCCCCCCAGCATTGCAATCTGGTAGTCTTTTTTTTCAGTTTAGTCTCTGAGTCAGCGTGGGAAGTCAAAAAACTGCAGAAAGGATGAAAACAGGCAGGATTTAATCAGTATAAAAGCTTTTCCAACTTTCTTTCAATTCCCCCGCTTTCACATATGGCTCTTTGTGTAAAAATGCCACTATGAGGCTTCTATCATACAGGCTCCATAAAACTTTTGTTTCAATGTCCCTTTTCAAAGACAGACCATAGGCAGCGAAGAACATTTCTCAAATTCGCAGACAAATCACTTTTTGTTGCTTTAATGTGGGCTCTTTATTCTTCATTGCTCTCTCATCTTCTCCCTTTCGTCCGTTTCCTGTCTCACCAGCAATCTTTATCTCTGTCTCTCTCTCTTCTTCAAAGCATGAACACGACCCCCTTTTGACGCCCAAATACCATCTGCTGTCAACACACAGAACTGAAAGATGGTTTGTGTCTTTGTTTGAGACAAGGGGAGCTCCCAGATTTAAACGAGCAATTGAATGCATCTGTAAATGGAAAGCTTTTGCCATTCACAGAAAGCAATCTTTCATAGAGCCCGAATGAGCCAAAACCACACAATGCTTCGTCTGTGTTGTGTAAATGCTCAAAGATGCGTTTTTGCACATTTTCCCTAACTTTTTTTTTTTTTTTTTTTTTGCTACAGAAGGACGTTTGAATCATTTCATTATCTGAACCACTTTTTCTCACTGATAGATTCTCCCCTTCATCTATAGACATGTTTTTCTCTTTTTTTAATGCCTGGTTATAACTCCACATCCTGCCTCCTTCTACATCATGCCCCACCATGAAAGTGATACATGATGTGTGAATGTTGCTTAATGCACTACAGCTGCTGTGTGTGATGTTCAATGCATGGTTTCTATGCTCTTGGTTTACAAGGACCCACATATAGTGGAACTGTAAGCTGAGAGCAGTTAAGGTTTGCAGTCTTTTCAATTGGTTGTTTTCTCTTGAGTGCATTCCAGCGCTTGTGTTTTCATTAGCTGCATTGGTTTCATTAACTGTCAATCATATTGGAATCTAATCACAAGATACCCTCTTCTGTTCAACAACCTAAACTTTTACACATGCTGGCAGAGAAGTGACACTCTGTAACATTTCTAGAGATTCTTTTGGGCCTTTTATTCGACAGGACAGTTTTACAAAATCAGTTATCTTTATGGAGAATATAGCCCAATTATATTTGACAAATTCCATTAGAAAAACGACTTAAATGAGTTTTAATGTTAGTTAAACCAGTATGAAAACGGCTCTTATACAATACAGGTGCAGACGGACCACTGAGGGAATGCTACTGTCAAAACCATGCTAGTTTTCTAAAATGACAAACTGTGCCTTTAATCACAAAATTAACGAAGTTTTATTGGAATAATGATGTTTCCACAAACCTGTCAAGTAAACACATGATGTCAGGAAAGACCACTAGCCAAACCTTAGCTTGGCTTGGTTCGCAGTTTGTTTTGAGCTAACCCTTTCATCCTGTTTTCCCCTCCTCTCTAAATGTCTTCTTTACTCTGGTCTGAAGACTGTTTCTCTGAGGTGAACCACAGCAGATTTCAGGCTCCACATCACTCTCCCTATGACATACTGAGTGGTTAGCGTTAGTATGGGAGCTCCTAAGGCTGTGTTTCTCAAAGATGGAACTTGGACTTGTTATTCTGTGGTTATAGCGATCAATTTAAAAATGTTTAAACCTCACACTGGACAATTTACTATCAAAAGCTTGTATATTTATACCGTAGTCACGGTGAAGCTATCTTTTAGCCTTTTACATCTAATATTTAGAAATGCTGACTACAATAAAAGAAACATCAGACTACAGTTTGTATGGTCTACAAACAATTGCTTCATCCGAGAAAACTCATAGTCAAGCTTCTCATTTGTAGTATTTAGAAAAAGTTATATCCACTATTTAGAATTAGACATGTTTACCTGGTGGAGAAACCTGGCATCTCAAACTCAAAGAATACACGTCTCTTGACACATTCAAGCAAATCTTTTTTACTTTGAGGTCAAGTCAAAGTGTATTGTTAGTCTGAAAAGTATTTTTAATATTTGTGTCTGTTAAAATGTATTTTAAAAGGCCTATAAAATATAACCATAGCATTAACATATAAAGTGTATAGATATTGTATAAGTAGGCTTATAAGACACTAAATATATTCTGTATTTGTAACATTAAAAAGTCATTAGGGTTAGTTTTGTACACACCTCTTGTTGCTTGGAAACCCACCTACAGAGGGGTATTAAATGTATTAGCCTGCCTTTAAGACTGGGCTCAAGGTCATAAAGTCATTGGTTTCATATGTAGCATAAATCCTCCATCAGAATGTAGGGCCCTTTGAGTAGGCAGCAAAAAATGGACTTGTGTGTGTGACTGGGAATCAGACAGATCTCCACACACAGTGCGTATCCTGGACCACAGACAGCAGGCAGCTTGTCAGTAAAAAAAAAAAAAAAAGAAAGTTTTTCCATAATGTAATGTAAGCTGCATGCAGAGGTGGAGAGCATGAATGACCAAGAGGACAGTATCAAACATCACTCTCTTCTAACAGCAGGATTTAGCTGCTGTCTCCTCCCGTCTACACTCTGTGAACTGCACAGCTGTTATGAAATAGAACTGATGTTTCACTTCTGGAGTTCAGGGTTTCCCAAAGAATAATGACTTCATGCTGGGGTGAATAGGTCTGTGAGACACTGTGAGAAAAGTCCATTGGGATACCAAAAAACCCTCCTGAAACCAATTTCTGGTTTATTTCAGAGAGATGGAGATCATTCTTGTTGTTTATTGCCAAGATTTGGATGATAAGGTTATGGTTAGGGCTTTGGATTTCAAAAATTCGATGGAATGTTTTTTGTCATTATTTTGTAATTCCCAAGACACTGTTGTCTTGGTGATATGGCAGAGAAAAGAAAAAAGATGGCAACACATGCACACAGATGCATTCTGGATATTTTCATCGTAATTTAAAACATCCCTAACTTATTTTCCTTCTACCTTTACACATCTAGATGTTATAATATATGAGGTTAAGCAATTAAATCGTGAGTGACCTCAATGACATGTGTTAAAAGTCTAGAAGCTATTTAACATTTGAACCGACACACCGCAACCTAAAGCACATCTAGTGCTAAGAAAAACACATCAAGAAATCAGTCCCCCTGTCAGACTCTGGGGCGGGGGTCCAGACCACAAGAATTTGCAGCCGTATGCAGAGCTGACCCTCGAGTAATCATGTCAGCACAGTGACAAATTAACTACTTCCTTTTCCCCTGTCCAAACAGCCTGTTATATATACTGCACCATCAGCTCCAATAGGAATAGTTAAAGCTGCACAATTTAAATGCATGTAATAATATAGTTCCCCATTTGCAAAAAGAATATTTATATGAAGACAATTTACAGAATATATGGTGACGAAAAGAGGAAAAACAATTAGACTTTTAACACTTAGTGTCATTTTGAGTGTTAAACCAGAGCCTCTCAAGGAGGATATGTAAGTCCAGACTCCTTCTAAATCATGGAGGTAGCTTAGCGCAGTAAATACTGCTGTGCATACATTACAGCTTACAAGTGTTTAAATAATGGAACCTGCGCTAGATTTAGCCTACGACTAAATTGCTGAATTGACATTTCAACTAAGCACAAAGATAAAAACAAGTTCTGTCATAAAGACTCCAAGTCAAAATGATTAATTATCTGTGTTTAACTTATGGTTAAGTTATACACAACCCAGGCTCTTCTTCCCAGGTGGTAGAAAAGTACTTCTTTTTTTTTTTTTTGGACAGTGAAGTTCAAGAGGGACAGATGTTCGCATGAGTGATGAAGTAATGACTTCAGCAGATTTAGCAAAAACCCGGTTCTGAATGAATGACTCTAGCTTTTCCTGACATGTTCTCTCTCTCTCTCTCTCTCTCTCTCTCTGCATGTTCCTCCATCCTGTTCTGAGGAGGGCCACAGATGTTAGAGTAGGAAAAGGGCTATTGACTTTATCTTAAATATGTGCTCCATTAAGAATCACAAGATACCCTAAAGGCTCCTGATAGAGAGTTTGACTTCCTAAACGTACACTTCAGAGAGCAATGCTAAATAGAGGGACGGGTGCAAAATCTAGAAAATAAAGATCAAGATAATAACAGTTTAATCCCCTGAGAGATCCCTACAGTACATCTTAGCCTTCTGTCACTGCTGCAAGGACAGTGTCAGAGATTCTCCGTACTGTAAAACCCCAACAGACCACAGCTGCATCTGTCTCAGACGCAGAGCTTTTGTTGATTTGTTTTTGGCTCAGTAGTCTGTAGTCTGATCTCTCTCGTGTGCACCTGGGAGTTTGTGTCTTGAGTAAGAGTTTTTCCAGCGTTTTTTAAATCCGAAAATCTGCTTGGACAAAGATGCAGACACATGTACACCAAAGGCATGATGGGTATCCCTACAGACCTCAGGTTCTCACTGAAGAGTGAGCTCCTTTTGAACTTACAGTCAGAGTCTAAAAAAAAAAAAAAATGTGTTTCTGCAGCATCACTGAACAATAATAATGACATATCCTGACTGCACTGGACACATCTGTGTGCATGCTGTATATCTTTGTCCTGTGTGTGTATGCAATGATATCCCCTTAGTGCGTGATGATTTACAGCACCATGTCGCCATGATAAAGCTAGCTACAACATCTGTAGCAGTAAACCGTGCGCATAATGACTGCACCATCTGCTCCATAAAAGTCCCCATAAGCACTCTAACGAGCACATTATAAAGTCTATGTAAATAAATACCTGCAGGAGTCCACACATATGCACCGTCTACAAAACAAAAGGTGATTTTGTATGAAAGTAAACACCGCGTGATTATATCGCAGCCTGTAATCACTGGCCAAACATTCCCTTGTTTCTTGTCTATGCAGCCGTTTTGCAGACTGCTTTGAAAACAATCACACATGATCATTTAGACGATCCAGGACGGGATGCACAGGCCACCTACTCAGTTCTAACAGAAGTAATTTATGACCGCAAAAGCAGATTAGATTTCAGATGAATGCGATTTGTATATCTCTTTTACTGACAGTGACAGGGGTTGCGTATCTTATTTAAGGGCGGCTGTGTCTCAGTTGGTAGAGTCGTTGTCCCTTAACCGGAAGGTCGAGGGTTCGATCTCCAGCTGGGCAACATGTCCGATGTGTCCTTGGGCAAGAAACCCGGAATTGCTCCCGCTGTTTCGTTGTATGAATGGGATTAGTTACCTCTGATGGGTACTACATAGCCCACTGCCATCAGTCTGTGAATGGTTAGGTGTGATATGCATAAAAGTGCTATATAAGCTCAAGTCCATTTACCATATCTGTTGGAGCGAGAGACACATTTTACTTACTGAAGCTAAACTCAAAAGGACAACTTTTTTTAATCAGGTATCTAGATTCAGCCTTCAGCTCTGTTGTTTCCCCGCTCTGGGCCAGAATGTGTCGACAGTGACAAATCTCCACTTGAACTGTCCAGACTCTGCAGGAGTGATTGTGAAGCGTACCTCAGCGTGGGATTTAAACCTCCAGAGAGGATCATTTTATCAAAGTGGGAATATGTAGGAATCCCCGTTTAATACATTAGAACCATCAAACAGACATTTTGACGGTGTTCCCAGACGCACACACTCATATTTCCCACCTTGTAAGAGAGTGAAAATGCTCTCCCCTGGCACTGACATGACTTACTGTTATACATCGTATCACAGTAGACACCATCTTGAAAAGTTTAAACATTTCTCCTAACCCACACAACATCTTGAAAACATATCAAAATGCAAGACACATTAGATTTCCTGCACTTTTATGATTCCAGGAATTGAAGGTCGTATTCCTGATTTCATTTTACTGTCACATATGTTTAAATCCTGTAAACCAAGAAACAGGAATGATTCTGTATTTGTTGTGTTTTTCAGTCTTTACAAACTCTTTCTAGAGCGTGAAGGACTTATGTTTCTTGTGTCTCCTTCTTCGCAGATTTGAATAACATCCCGTCCGACCTGCCGTCCGACATAGTCAAGATGGATCTGTCCAGTAACAGCATCCAACATCTCAGGCCCAAACAGTTCCTGCTGTCTAAAGACCTCAAGCTGCTCAACCTCAGCAGCAACAACCTGCAACGATTAGACACAGGTAACACAACAGCTTCTGAAACCTCCAACACACACACACAACTTGGCATGTCCACACATTACAATAAAATGTATGCTTTTCTGATTGTCTGACTTTTGCTTCCGTTTCAATACCAGTTCGGTCTGAGTGTAAAAACCATCCCTGGGGCGCTGGAGGCTGTAGTCCTCCAAGCAGGCGGCCCGCGTTCAAATCCCACCTGTTCACCCCTTTCCTGCATGTCATTCCCTACTCTCTCTCTCCCTGATTTCCAGCTCTATCCTCTGTCCTGTCTCTCCATTAAAAGGCACAAAATGCCCAAAAATAAATCTTAAAACATCCTTAACATCTAAAATATAAGGTCCGGATATTGCAGAGTTTTGCCAATTCTGAGCATATCCGCTCGGTCATTACCATCAGGCATTATACATGAAGAAACTCAGGGAAATTCTCGTTGTCTTTCAGCCTTCATTATGGAGAAATCCCAGAGGATTATGGCTGCATCTGACTAAAATGACTTAAAATAATCCACAAAGTCATTAATGTTGCTGTGTTGTTCTCTGATGTGCGGACGCAGACTCGACCGTGCGTCCATTCTATTTTGTTTTATTTGACCTTTTTTTGAGTCTCCCTGTTTTGTAAATTAAGCATGCTTCATAATCACATGTGTTGCATTACAACGTTATGTACAAGAGGCAACCGTGCTCAGGCCCAATGAGTCCTGGAGCAGTGTGAGGGTAGGCCAGTGAGGAACGGGGAGCGGGGAGAATCATACTTATGAACGGTACGGGACAACTTTGCCTCGTGTGAGTGCGCCAGGATAAAGGTTTAGTTCAAATTTGAAACATTTAACAACACAGGTAATCAAATGTACAGCTGTCAGGGCCTAAGATCAATCAAATGTTTAAGGTCTTTCATCAGCGAGACACGAGACAATTAAGTGCTCCAAAGATCAATATCTGTTCTGAATACTAATTCTGCCTCCGTGTTAGTGGAGCGCCATTAAAAAAAAAGTACACACTCATTACTCTCCAGGCTAATGATGTTTGGGCTAATTCTTCCTGCCCAGGCAGGAAATCCTTAAAAAACACCCTGTTATTTTATTCTTTCTTTATTACTCTACAACACATGTAAACAATCTGCTGCAGCTTGCCTCAGTGTGTTCCAAGACTGTTTGGAAACTGGAGAATGGATTCAGAGTTTTTTTTTTTAATCAAAATCAGTGATAGCCATGTGACATGTGGTCTCAATCATGGTTTCTGCTTCTAATCATCCTCACATTCGGAGTAAATAGTGTAATGATGTGTAATGTATAGAATCATTTTCTGAAGGTTGTTTTAATGTTCTCTTTCCGTGTGGATGAAAAGGAAACCTGAAGAAAAACACAAAAAGGCTTTTATTATTGGCTTTAGACCGTTTTTGTGCCAGGCTGTTAGGATTTCCGCCTCGCAAATTCCCTGAAATAGAACAGCAAATTTGGAATACTTTAGACTTTACTAAGACTGATGACTTCACTCTTTTTGTCACAATGTGTGGACCCCACCTTTCTGGAAAGGGTAAAGCGTGCAACAATATTCTTAACACCCTTCATGTCACTCTGGACTGCATTGTCTTTTTTTATTACCAATTGTGAAGCAAGAACTTTGCAGGAGACAGTCTTTGAACAGAGGGACTTATGCAACGATGAGATCTGTAGTTATGGTGATGAGAGACTATTTTTTTATTTGTTGTGGAGACTTGTTGCCAAGATCTTCCCGAGAGCTGGGAAAGCCTGGAGGGGGTAAATCCTGAATTTATCACCTCTGCTGAAACCGAATGGGTGTTATGTGTTTCTTTCTCCACTCAGACCATTTTTAATGTGTGTGCAATAAAAGTGAGAAAATCAATGACAGGAACACAATAGTCATGAGAAAGAAGAACAACTAGCTGACTGAAGAGTTTTCATTTAAGCTATATTTTAGACATTTTGGGAAATACAATGTATTGGCTTTCATGCTAAGCGTTAGATAATAAAAAAGATGGTAGTCTACCATTCTTAATGTGTACACTAAATATGAAGCTGCAGCTAACAACCGGTTAGCTTAGCCTAGCATGGAGTGTTAAGCGTGCAAGACCTCCACCTTGACTGTACTAGAACATGGATTGTAGTGAGAGGAAAGAATGGAAAACATGTGCAAGATATAGATTATCAAGAAAAAAAAGAATGTTTCAGGCTGGCTGCAAAAAGGAGAAACACTAAAAATCTTAATTTTGCAATTTTCCATTCAGACAGTAATTTGGCCAAAAATGATTTTAAAGAAAGCTCTCTTTACATCATCCTGGAGTGTGAAAACACAAACACAGAGCGACCAGTTAGTTCTTTTCTTTAACCTCTTGTGTCCTCTTACCTGCTCGTTTGGCCAATCAAGGAGGAGCTCTGTAATCAGTGTCACTCTGATCCAGCCAGGTGCAATCAATCTGTTCCACCTTTAACCAGAGTCAGTTTGGCTTTCAAAAAATGACTTAAAAAATGTACCCACCCAGAAGGCACGAGTTATATATGGGATGATGAAGACAATAAATGAATGAGCAATTATTTGGAATTTACACAACAACATCAACACACAGACACACAAACACAACCATTCAAAGTGTTGAGTTCCCCAATATGGCTCCATATTGGGAATGGAGGAGTTGTCTCCCCAAAATCTATTACAATCAACACATCAGTCAATCTATACACTTAAAATTTAACACACTTTCTTCATTTCAACCAGCCACAATTGCGAGAAGTTTTTATCCAGACCTAAAAACTAGACTGAAAAAATAGTTTTTATACCACTGAGGCTGATAGAGTATATGTGAAAATGTGTTCGCTTTGGATGTGCTACAAGCAGAAGTGGGCCCAGTTTCTCAAAAATTAACCTGCTAAGAGGCAATGACTTAGAAAACTAAAAATGACACATATGTCTGTATTGAAAATCTACAAACAATAGAAACTTTTTTCATATATTACCACACCTTATGGCCCCCAAATGTGTTTTCTCATAATCACCGACATATACACAACTGTTGTTCTGTGTGTATCACTCATGCCATATATTGCTAGAACGTTACAATTCTTGTGATTCCAAAAACCAATTCCAGATCCAACCAAGAGAGCAGCCACAATCTACGCTTCTGTCCTTTTTCTTACCGTCTGAAGCTGTACTGTACTCTTCTCGTCATAATATTCCAACAAAAACGGTCCTGTTGCATTGACAAGGGATTGGAAACACATTACATCCATAGATTGCTTCTTTGTGCTACTTCACGGGTTCTGACCTTTTGATTGACACCTCATTGAACCAATTAGGACCTTCCATTCACAGTCCCTATAGGCTTCTCTATTGAACGAGAGCCTGAGTAGAAACAGGACTTTCTTTCTCTGCCCTCCATGGCCGGAATTCCACATGACACAGATGTGTCAGTGGAAAAAAGGGATAAACGATTTTACCCAGTGTCGTCTCTTCTGAGAGTCAAGAGCAAATTAGGTCATCTGACCAAGCACCATCAAACTTTGTGTTCATTTTATTAATTAATTGTAGGACTACAAAAAACTAAATTTCCTAAATAACACATTCAATAAATTGAATTCTTTGCCTTGGAAATCATAATAAAAATAGACCAGCCTGGGCTTCTTATAGCTAATGAGGGTTAAATGAAGAAGAAGTAAATGAACAGTTGCAATAAGGGGAGTAAGTCTCATGAGTCCAGAGGTAAGACATGAGAAGAGGGGATATAACATCCCCCCCCCCCACCCCCCACTTCCTTTCCTAGAGTCCCCTCTATCAGGGCAATCTTCAGGGTTAAATGATGAGATTGCATTAGCAGTAACATCTGAACTGGAAAATAATCTCAGAAAAAATGAACGCCCCCAGGATCTGTCTTCTTCCCTGTCTCTGTCTCACACATGTCTTTATTGTCACTTGGTCTACTTCTATTATGTACCACACATTTCTCTCCTGCTGCCCCCCCCCCCCCTCTTCTCTTCCGCTCTCTAAAGATCAAAGCCAGTCTCAAGGCTAGTGGACAGCAGTCTCCGCTGTCCCATTACACAGATTGTAACAATGTCTACCTCCTAAAGCCACTGTTGAGTCACTTACATAGGAGACCAGATGTATAAGACTCAGCTTCAAACAGTTATGTTTTATTCAATCAAAATGAAGACAGGTCAGGTCAACTGATCCACCCACATTTAAATGTTACATGTTTAGCCTGGCAACAGTTTCCATGGGGAAAAACACTAAGAAAACTCTCTATTTTCTATCTTATAGGCTGAAATAGTAGACGAAAAGTTAGCGGCTAGCTTGTGAGGAAACTGAAGCATTCAAGAGCCCAATATTTAGATATTTCTTTTAGTAAATGGTATAGATAAAAATAAAAACCCTTGGTAAATACTTGGTTGTCAGGGACAGGCATGCTAATGTTGCTCAATGTGTACTGGTAATGCAAATAAGCAACTGTTTGCATGTTCAGTTCAAGTTTGAACAAACAACACAAACAACCACAGAGGAATTATTCAGGTGTGATGGCACGAGCTACCAACTTATTCAGTTCTGCTTCTCTGCCCCTCCCAGCTGCTTTCGCAGGCCTGCTGTACCTCCGCGAGCTCGACCTGTCCAACAACAGCCTCCATTACTTCCAGTATGGTGTACTTGAGGACCTCTACTTTCTACGGAAGCTCACGCTAGACAACAACCCCTGGATCTGCGACTACAACATCCACTATCTGATCTATTGGCTCAAGCACCACCCAGGCGTCTTCTACACCGGCCTGACCTGCACCGAGCCGCGGGAGTTCAGGGGCTGGCGCGTCGAGGATTACGTCAAGACCTACAACGGGGAATGTCCCAAGGATAGACAAACTGGAGGTGTGGATTCGGGACAGGGGGGGCAAGGGGGGACAGACAATGAAGCTCAGGAGGTTGGTGGGGAAACGGGTGATGGGCAAGGTGGGCGTCTGCCTCAGCCGATAAAAGAGAAGAAGACCAACGGGATTGAAATCATCAGGCTGAGTTAAATACGAGGTAGATCCATGGACTGTTGAGAGGCGTTGGATTAAGATTGAGGTCTGTTGACGGGCTGAAGTATGGATTTTAAAAAAACGTAGATTCATAGATTTTTCTTTTTTATTTGATTGTAAATGTAACAATTTGGGATGCAATTCATTTGTGGTTGTCTTTTTTAGTAGTTCTTCAGCAAAAAAATAAACAAATTGGGAACATGTCTTAAAGGTTTTTTAATTTTCAATCTGATAATTCTCCGAAGTTATCCTCTTGGCCAAGGTAAGGTAGAAACAAACTTTTGTTCCCAATTCCAGTCTGTATCAGATCTTAAACTCCCTAAAAAGATGTCTCTTTGACTTTACCACACACTTAACTAAATGTGCTTTTTTTCTCCTGCTCTGGAAAATTTGATATTGTTTTATTATTAAAGTTGTTTTTGGTCTTTTTATTTTGACTAATGTATGACAATGTCAGCTTGTTTTTCTGGAAATAAAATTGGGTTTATTTTTTCTGTAATTGTGTTTTACTAAATTATGGACAGACATGATGAAAGAAAAACAGACATTATTGAACTTACCTACAACACCTCAAGTTATATATGACTATAAGCAATCATACAATGACACAGAGTTGAATAAGGTTGTGCCCATTGATAGATACACTGAACTGGGAATCCACCAAGTTGCATGAAGACAGAAAACAGAAAACTTGGTGATTTATTGCCCGTCAAATGGAGCAGGATTTTCCTTCTGGGTGAATGACATCAAGGCTGATTAACTCTCAAGAGTCAGACAAACATTGCAGCAGCTCCAGCTGTTTATTGTTCCTTTGTCTAAGAAGGCAAGGAGCAACCAGCCTGCAGGAAGAGATGTGTAGCAGCAGAGAGGCCTCTAGTGGTCACAATGATAACTTGTTAAGATACTTGATGGTTTTCCTTTATTTCCAACTTTGCTCTGCTTCATCGTGTCAAATGAAAAAGAAGAATCAATTGAGAACACATTCACAGACTGTTACAGACATTATTGACACTGTAAGACAACAGTATAGTGTAAGTAAGAGAAAGTGAAACAAACATGTCACAGTCTTCTGGCTTGTAGTCGATCCTCCGAGACGGTTTCCTTCAAGGGGGGCAGCAGCAGAGGATCACAGCTCATCATTGAGACACCACAAGAAGTCACTTGGGTTGAATTCTCAGTCTTATGCACTGCTGCAGTCCTTAGCTTTTCAAATGTTTAAGCTTTTTCAACCTTTTATCAGCAGAGTGAAGCTTGAAGACAACATTTTAATAAGTTACAAGACAAAATAAGATCTTGACACAATTAGCAACTCAACTGTTGCTTTAGTTTTAAATACAGACTTTCCTCTTCTTGTAGCAGTCCCTTATAGATCGGGTACATCTCTCTGAAGTACTGAATTGTCAATACTTTCCAAAAACTTCCTCAGTCTCTCATATCAAACACTGGGGATACAGTGGTCTTGATTGATGAGGTCTTTCCAGCCACATCTCACATCTTGGAGGCTTCTCCCATCATCAACGCACAGGGCTCCTTTCTTCTTCCCTGGATTGCCCCCTTCGGAATCAGCAACAGTCCTTCTTCTCTGGCGGTGTGTAGGCACTGACGATGCCGTTCACGGGCCGAGAGTTGGACCTGAGCAGAACTCGAGGGTTGTCGACGCTCCCAAATTCTCCCTGGTGGACGCTGAGGCCGTTTCGAGCCAGCAGCTCTTTGGCCATCATCATGAAGGCTTCTTCCACGTTCTGACTCTCCTAGACGCACGAACAGAGGGAATTTTTATACCAATTTGAACAAACCGAAAGACTCCGCGTTTAAATGAAAACACTTATTACCTTTGCGGATGTTTCTAGGGCAGCTAGAATGCCCCTGTCATTAGCCATGCCGCACGCTTCCTGGAACAGAACCTGACGCTCCTCCTCCAGGTCACATTTGTTTCCTGGATATATGAGAGTATATATGCTTTGAAGGAAGTTGTTAACATATACAGGAGAAAAAACTTGACTATATTTGAAACTACAAAACAGAGGGGTCCCCCCTTATTTGGTAAGAATATTGCATTTCTCGATCCATATGCGCCCGATGGGGCAGGAGTATATCGGCACACTTTTCAGTGACCAATGGGGTCTGGCAAGGTGGAATTCTGTCACCACTTCTTTTTAATATGTCTATGGACGATCTCTCTGAACAGCTTAAAGCTTGTAAGACTGGTTGTATGGTGGGAGATAGAACTGTTAACCATTTGATGTATGCTGATGACTTAGTAATCTTGTCACCTTATAGTGCTGGCCTACAGCAACTTTTAAGAATCTGCTCGAGTTATGGAGTGCAGTGTGACATAAAGTATAATAGTAAGAAGACCGTTGTCATGATTGTAAAAGCAAAGGATGATCGAAAGCATAATTTTCTTCGTTCTTTATCTCTGATCAAGCCCTGAGTGTGATAGATAAAGTCAAATATCTGGGACATATTATCAGGAATGACTTGAGTGATGATGATGATGATGATGTTCAGCGTCAGTGTTGCAAACTGTATGCTCAAGCTAATATGCTGGCACGTGAATTTTCAATGTGCTCAGACAAAGTTAAAACTGAGCTGTTCAGAGCTTGCTGTACTCTGCTATATACTGCCCACTTGTGGTGCAATTATAGCAAAGCTTAAAAGGAAAAAGCTGCAGGTGGCATATAATGATGCGTTCAGAATATTTCTGAAGCTACAAGATGGACGAGTGCAATTCAGATGTTTGGTTTTAATCCTGTGACCACATTTCATGCTCCGCTGAGAAATGTTATGTTCAAAATGTATGTGTTGTTTAAATAACTCAGAAAATGTCATTATAATGTCACTGACCCAGCCCAGACTTAGAGACACAAGGTATTCCTCGTGTTTCTGGAAACACTGGTGTAAATGTCTCTTTGTATTGTAAACACATGTAGTGATGATATCCCTTTGTTAATGTCCTGTATTTATATATCTGTGCTTTTTTTATAACGATATGGACCTATGGGTCTGAAGTAAAGTATAAAGTAAAGTAAATAAGGCCTTAAAAAACAAAGAGCACTCTCCATGAAGTAGTCGTAGTCTGAGGTCATGACCTGACATGTTGTTAATGCATGTTGTACTATAACAATGGAATCCAAGATAATAGAGTTGTAAAGTCACACCCACACCCACCTATAAGAACCAGCACCACATTGGTCGCTCCGTAGGTCTCCACCTCTTTTATCCAGTGGTTCACTGAGTCGAAGGTAGAGCGCCGTGTGATGTCATAGGCGATGATGGCGCCGTGGGCACTGCGGTAGTAGCTCTGGGTGATGGTGCGAAACCTCTCCTGACCCGCGGTGTCCCACACTTGCATCTGATACACACAAAGACGAAAACAAGGCATTAGCTTGAATGAAATAGTGGATGTTTGGTGTACATGCGCATGAACAACAACAGATTGTGCTGATGGCTGTTTTCTGTGTTTGTGTACTGGTTGAGGCTCCTTCATATCCCTCTGCAGAGTATATTCCCTGAGCATCACTCACCATGGTAACAAGGTAACTGCTGCCATGCTAACAAAAGCACACTAATCAGCTAGACATATTTGACTCTGTTGATGGTTTCAAACATGCAATTTATGACTTTGTATTTACAAAATCTAATCTCACAACTTCACTCATGACTTAATATCATTTAGAAAGAAAATTAAGATTAAGTGTTTTTTTTCCAGATAAGTAAGCAAAGCAAACATGTTCGTCATGAAACACAGCTTTGATACAAGTCACATTTAGTATATAAAAAACATATACAGCTTTTACTAGCTCTATATAGTATACAGGTCTTAACTGTTCTCTAGGTGTAACTAGCTGAAGTAAAATATATTGGTTTTATTAAAGGTGCGCTATGGAGTTTTGGTAGAGAAATGTGAAAGTTGGAGAAATGTTCAGATTATGTGGTATATGTTCATAACTCTATACACAAACTGTCCTCAGAGGAAAATTTGGTCCCCGTAACACTTTTTGAAGATAAAATGTTACGCGAGAAGTAGTTGTGGGGGGCCTGTAACAGTGAAACCGCAACTCTCCTGGCAGATTTTTAGCTTCAAGCTGTGTTCCAGGGAACCATTTTTTCTTTGGGTAAAGTTTGTGTATTCAGTACAGGAAATATAGCATAGAATAGTTTCACTTCTCCAACTTTCAAATTTCACCATCAAAACTCCATTGTGCACCTTTCAAATAAGCAATTCAAACAAGTTATCATTCCTGTTCAAACAGAATGTTAAGCTTTAGCTACCAAAGTTACAGCAGTAGAAGTCCGAGATGTCCTCAGTACTGGGCGGCTCAGTTACATGTAGCCTCAAGCTTAGCAGGCAAATTTTTGGTTGAAGCACACAGAAGAAGAACAGCTGTAGGACTCATTTGAACCCTTTAATCTTTATGACTCCCAAGGACATCAGTTTATTGTGTTACCTTTTACAACCTCATGCTGACCTTACAAGGTGTGATTGTAATAGCCTACTTTGATATTGAACTATTCTGCCTGCATTTCTTAAACTAAATTAGGATCCTTTTAATTTGTATACTATGTACAGTTTATGATGTGTAATGCTTCTTAAAAAACGTCAGCTGATCGTTCTGACATACCATAAATGTTTACCCTGCAGTCACTGAACTGGCTCGTCCACGAGAAATACAGTTAGTGAAGGTGTGGTTATGTGTTTGTGTTGCGCAACAGACTGCACCTCCCTCCGGCTCAGACAGATTTACAGGAAAAAAACCCATTTATGATTTGATATATTAATTCAGAAAGTGACTTTAAAGACCAATCTGGGCACCCTTACCCCGTAAATGACACTATTTATAAGTTGTATGGAGGATTTCAGACATGAAGTACTTCAGTTATGGACTGACTTTTGACGAATGCGGAACAAAGGACTTTCTACTGGAATCATTAACTTCTCTAGCTAAAGTAATTACGGAAACAGAGAAGTCACTCCAGGTTTGTTTTGGTCCGCACAAAAGCTCAAACAGCAGAGAATCCTGACAGACAGGTCCCACATGTGAAAAGCTGGTCTGACTAGTTTTTAGATTGAGTCTAACCAACACTGTAACCTTTCTCACTGTGGTGTCATATGACTCCAAAATCCATTACAGTACATCTCACACTTTCTAGTCACCTAAAAAGGTTGCTATTTCAAATTCATTAAAAAACTTTCCAAAAGTAATTGACTAAACGGTCTGTTACTGTGCTGTGAAGCTTGTCACTGTCAGAGCCAGCTGACTCCACAAAAAGCCACCATAAGTATCAGGGCATGTAGCTGGCATTAAAGTGGCAGTATGAGGGTCACTGGTTCATTGAGTTAAACATAACCCTTTCAAAGACCTTTCTAATGCAAAGTATAATGCAAATTAAGAAATCGAGACAACATGGCCTGAAATAACATATTTAGAAAGATGTTATTCCCACAAGTATAGAATAATAACTCCATTAGGCCTTCTCAGGACTTTTGGGAAACTTATCTTTATGTTTTTTATGACCTTTTTAGACCTGATGATTTGCACAACTTATGTTTTAAAGTCCCTCTTTAACTATTTTCTCACTCCAAGCCTGAAGGTGCATTAACTAAATCAATCAATAACTAAATCACCACTTCCAACTTCTGCCTTCAGAAGGAAAGGGTATGCAGTTGTCTGTGCAAAGAAACACATTTTGACCCAGTTGCCATCAAATATCTAAATCCTTAAGGACATGTAGAAGTCAGCCTGCTACCTCACCCTACTTACAATTTGTTATTGTTTAACACCCCTTCAGTATTTATTCTAACAACTTGGTGCCTTGTTTTGAATAGCTCTGCTGTGTCTGTTTTTATTCTGCTTTTATTACATATACTCTATGTTTTGTCTTTAACTGTGTTTTGTGAGTTTTAAATTTGCTAGTTTGTGAATGCATGTGCACATTTGTGCCGAAATACAAGGACATACACATTTGAAAGACACATTTCTACCTCTGCATGCAACAGAAGACAATGAGGTATTTTCTACTCTATTCTTTTGAATGGATGAATTGTACGGTACGATATGATGCAATATGATACGATGCGATGCGCTGCAATACGATACAATGTGATACAATACAATACGATACGATATGATATGATGCAATATTATGCGATACGATGTCCCCATGAGGAAAGATTTTGGACTTCAGTGCTTAACATATTTTTCTGCCTCCTTAGCAGCATCAGTAAAGCTGTTTTGATGTAGTTCTGTACTGAAGCCATTGAAATAGTATAACATGAATTTCATTTCTTTTGAAAGGTACACAATCTGCTGGTTGAAGTGTAAGTTCTGCATATGGGGGATGTGATGATCTTTCCTTAATATTTAAAGTACCACCTTGACACACACTCAAGCATATATCTCTAAATGTCCACGCTTTTACATCCGCTCAAACGTTCATATCCAAATCCACCACTTGCACTACTAACCTTGACTTTTTTCCCCTCGATATCCAAGGTTCGTACACTGAAATCCACTCCGATGGTGTTCTGCTGCCTCTCGTAGAAAATCCCTGACTTAAAGTTCTGGACCACGCAGGTCTTTCCCACGTTAGAGTCTCCGATCAGAATGATCTTAAACAGGAAATCAAAAGAGTCATCATGCTCAGGTCCCGGGCTCTGCATGGTGGAGAGTTTGTTCCTTATAGCTGAGTGAGAATGGAGGAAATGATTCCCCCCTAATACTGTGGGTCAGATGGTATGTTGAGGCCTTGAGATGCTGGGTTATCTTTATGCTCCAATAAAAAAGAAAAACTCTAAGAAGTTGAAAAGTTTCATTTCCAAAAGATCCCCAAACTGACAGTGTGTTACTGTTTCTCCTAATGTTTAAAGTCCCTCAGGAAAGATTTCCAACAGTGAAGTAAATGTAGTTACATTTGTCCACATGCAGCCTGAAAAACCAGTTTGGAGCTGTGAAAAATGTATTTGTGAAGATGTAAAATGATGCTACTCACAGATTAGAAAGCACCTGAGGGTACATTTTCAAATCCAAAATCCTTTAAAAAAAAATGTCTCCCCATCTGCAGCCTTTCTATACCGTCTTGCAGTCTTCCCCTTGGACCAAACAGTCAGTCTCTGCTGCTCCTTTCACCTCCTTCTCAGGTGTTGACCCACTTTAATGGCCCATAGCAAAATACAGCGTGAATACACATCCCATCTCTTTCTCCTTCTACACTCCTCATGTGGTGTCTGTCAAGCAGGAAAAAAGTTACTTCCCTTTAGATAAAAGAGAATTTAAGAAGATGCTCGTCTTTAGTCCAGGTATAGCTGTCCAAACCACCTGTTCTCTCCTTTCACACACGTGTGTGTCAGCTCTCTCTTTATCTCTCTTCAGTCTTTTCCTGTTTCTACTAACCTCCAGCCTCACACCTTTCTCTTTCGCTCTCTCCCCTCCCTCTCTCTCTCTCTCTCTCTCTCTCTAGCACCTGTAGAACAATAGAAACTTGCCCTACCTGTTCTTTAAGAAGAGCCCTGCCCCTTCTTTGCTGCTGGGGGATCATGGGAAATGAAGTCATTTAGCCAGATTATACATTTGAATCACAACAAGTTCAGACTCAAAGAACTTTAATTCAAATTTGGTTTCACAGCTGCCCTCACAAAATATACCAAATCTGTGATACAGCCATACAAGAAGGAACTATAAATAAATAGTTGAAGATGCAGATTTTAAAAACGACTATCACTACTTATAAGCAAACAAAAATTCTGTTGTGTACTTTTAAAAAGTAAATTTCAGATAACATTTTTTGAAAAGGATAGTGTAATATTGGTTACATTCTTCCATTTCTTGTTAGAATAATAATAATTCCACTTTATTGTGGCTACGATAAAAATCATTTTCTTATCCATACTCTATATTTTAATGTAAATATAATCTCAAACTGTAGCCTATAGCTGTACAAACGCATATTTAACTTCATTAAAGCTGTGTTATACCTTTACAGCTGCACAATGACAGGGCAATATTTTAGACATATAAGTTACATCAAATAGTGCAGACATAATCAAGATGCTCTACATTTTTTAAGCAGAATATTAAATGAGGTTTGATTGATTTGAACCTCATAGCGTCTCTCAGGAGAATACAGAAGCAGCAGGAGAATCTAAATTTTGGTTTGAACATGAAACATAAGATGCTGTGAAAGGTCATTTAAAAAAAAACCCGGAATTACAATATCCATCCTAACTGATACTCAGTTATAAGCATCTGGATTTCAGTAGCCTAGATGAACTCCGGCTTTGTAGAAATGAGAAAGAATGTGTTGACAACAGCTTTATGTTGAGAGCTGTATGATGAATACAAGGTTGTTGTTTTTTTTTTGAGGGAATTATTTCAGACTCAACACATTTAGATTTGACTGCTTTTCCACTCAGACGAAAATGACATCTAAAGCCTTTTGTTGGGATGCATTAAATGTATAATCCATCATAAATATGAAAAAAAAAAACGCAATTGAATTTATAAAAAATAGGGCCTTTATCTGTCTATATGAGTTAATATAATCCTGCATTTAATTCTCAATACCATTAATGCAACCCATACTCTTGAATGAATTATATGACTCACTGCCGTGCATCATCCCTGTGCGCTAACCTTTTTTTTTTTGATTCCGGCAATTCCGAGTGCCACTGAACGCGGCACGGAAGCATCCTCATCCCGTACATCACAGTCGTGACGTCCTGTGCGGACAGATAGATGCACAGATAGATGCCCTCACTGTACGAATCGTAGCTCTACGGTCTTAATATTTTTGCTGTATGTGAAAGATCGTGTTGGAGGTCGGCAGAGAAGCAGCAGCAGCATGCAGCGGAGCGCGGTGGTCGTGGTGGCGGACAAAACGAGCCTGAAAAGGCCGTTTATTTTCGCAAATGCTGTTCATATGGTAGGGGGAATTTTTCTGCTTTTGAATTCAACTCATCCTCAGAGCTTTGTCATGTTTTTATCAAGTCTTTATTTTGACCTAAATAATCAGTCAGTCAGTCTATTATTAACCCAAATAAGACTCGTGTTGTAGGTTATACGTCTGTCTCTCATGCAAACATGCTGCAGCGAGTCCCCTCCCATCACAATATGCACTATGTGCCTGCTGCAGTATATATTCTATCATAATGTTTTTAGGTTATATACAAAGAGATCCATGACAGAAAAGCAATGAGAGCGACTCTAGAAACAACACAAAAGTGAACACACTGAATATCATTATTATAAGGGATGACCATCATTTTTTTTTTTTTTTTTTCAAATCTTTCCTCATTAAAAAAAAATCTGCTTTTTCAATCAAGTCATATATTTTTTTTTATTTTTTTTTTTTTTTGCTTTCTTAGCTGTGAGTCTAGAGCCGTGTGCAGTAAAAAGGTTTCGTTTTGGCTCTTATCACTGTCCTAAAAAAGGGTATTATTCCAGTTGTAGGCTAATCCGGGATAGCATTAGCCCTTAAATGAACCAAAGTGCTCCTCTAAGAGGACGAGTTCTGCAGGCAAAGCTCCAATTTCAACATCTTAAGTAGAAATCCCGACCCATTTCTATTTTATGAGACGATTCTCTTTATTTAACCAGGACGTCTCATTTATAAAAACAACATAAACAGCACATAGGAAAATCACAACAATTTCAAACAGGCATTCAAATACCCAGTGGCCTTAAAAAAAAACCCACACATGCCTCTGTAATCATATTATTTATAGGACCTTAAATTTAAGTGATGGTATCTTCTCCCTTAGTTGTCTCTATACCCTTGAAACACTTTGTCTTTGTTTCTGATCTTGCAGTTGTGTGCAAAATGTATCTTATTAATCATGTTCCTATCTCCAAAGGCGCTGTGTTTCTTCATGCTGACCATGACAGTAGCCTGGCACAGAGACCTCATCCAAACGGGCAAAGTAAGACTGACGACACACGCTCCTCTGACCCAAAGAAAAAACTTTCCGTAGTAGAGGTTTAGTTGTTTATTTGAGGGGCGTCGATAGCCCCTGTTTTGTGATGTTTTTAAAGCAGCAAAAAGAGTTGCTGAGGTAAACAAGAAACAACTGTGGAATTATTAATGCATGGCTGCCATCAATATTTCCTAAAAGCACCACAGCAGCACTTCTCTGAAAGACCTGAGTTCAAGCCCCTTATGTTGACAAGTATTTGCCAGTTAAAGCGTCCTTGGGCAAGACATTGAGTTATCTTCAAGTGCCGTTGGGTACCACTCTGCGGCTGACCCTGACCCGTGGGACCCTTTGTAGCCGCGCTATCTCGGGAATGCATCTGTGGGAGCAAAATCCCATTCATATTAAGACGAAGTGGAAATGTCAGATTAATTGTTCTTAAAATGAATCTTTATTTCAGATGGGGTTTTTTTTTCTTCCAGTGAACAGTCCCCTTTAATGCCAGTGTTTTTTTTTTCTCCTCAGCTGGTGTCCAGTGCGTCTGTGGTGATCATGTACGTCATGGAGATCGGCTGCCTGCTGCTCTCAGTGCTCGGTGTGTTTGGAGCCTGTAAAGGAAAAAGATGGTGTCTCATACTGGTAAAAAAAAAAAAAAAAACCTGCTTTCATTTTGTGTGTGTTACTGAATAGTATTTGTTGTAGTAAATGATGTTTCCCTCACTTAATTGTTTTTTTTTTTTTTTATGTGTGCAGTATGCAGCAGGGATGGCAGCAGCAAGCCAAACAATAATTGTTAGAACAGCACTCAGTTACCAAGACGTTTACGAGGTATAGTACCCCAATGCCTTGCTTTATCAGTATGTCATGTAATCCTGTTGTACAACATAACTTGTGTCTGATCAGCTTTAACAACAGTATGTGTTTATATCACAAAGAATGTGCTCACTGTGTTCTCTGTCTCTGCACAGAAACGTGTGGCCCGTGAGGAGGCAAAGCTGCTCTCCATGATGCCACTGAGTGGAACCAGCAAAGCCAACAGGACGCTGCTGTATAGCATTCAAGAAGAAGTAAGCAGCTATTTCTTTATTTCATTATGTTATACAACAGTCTTTATGAAAACAAAAGGGTATGGATAGGGTAGGATGCTTTTGTTTGCCACATGCTTTGTGTTCATTTGTCCATCTATCTAGGCTTATTTCTGAAATTAAACATCAGCACAGTTACAACATTCAGGGAGAATGAGTCTGTTCAACATCTCTAGGGATCTCTTAATTCAACTCCTTTTCAATACAAAAAAAACCCATCTATTCCCTACGTAGAGATCTGCTCTCTGCTCTGTAGGATGTCAAAATATCTTGAAAAGAATATGAAAAAAAGGGGACTCTGTCTCTTGTTTCATGGTAAATCTTTAGTCTTTTCCTGTTTTAGGGATATGTGTGTTGTCACAGTTCCCACAATGCTTTAGGGAAAGAAAACAGGAAGGCTGATGTTGCCAGTATAAGCTTGATAAGCTTGGCCTCTACTTTGAGCCTTGATTTTTCTCTCCAGCCATTTATTTACATTTTGGCACTTTAGCAACATTAAGACGTGCCAAATTAGCCATTAGCCATTCCTGTTTACAATATACCCATGGACATAAAGGCAAATATCACTGAATTTCATAGGAAGTGAACAAAAACCGAAAAATGTCACAATCCTCAAGCAAGTTTTGGAGTTTTCTATGACGTCTGTATGAATTCCTCGTGGTGTATTTGGTGATATTCTCCGAGAAAGTGTAGGTCAAACTGAAGCTAAAAATAGTGGGATCACGTCTCAGATTTGACTGAGTTATGACTCAGAACATCCCCCTTGGGTGAGGCCACGTCACAGTTTGAAAACCTCTGTAACACAACCCGCACTCTTAATGGTATCACAGCCACACAAGGTTGTCCCTGTTGGCTTTCCATACTTTGATGGTTCTTACTGTTTTTCGTTACTCGCAAAGAGTGATTAGCTGAGCTTGCCGATAAAGCAGCTCAGCAGCCCTTTTTGGGACTTTGGGACTGAAGAGTTTGGTGGATTTTTGCAGTCTAAATTCACGCCTAACACAAGAAGAAACAAATGCACAATTAAATTGGAATGAAAACACCTGCAGTATATTTAGACTTGGGATGTGGCCTGGAAAGCAGGTGTGTCCTTCCTTGAAGAGGTAGTAACCTGTTAAGGATTAATCAATCATTGATGCAGATTTGTGTCTGTAGTACATATTGTTGTGTTTGTGTTGTTTTGGTTTGATGTTTTATTTGGCCTGTGTCTGTCTGTTTTGTCACCTCCAGTTTGAGTGCTGTGGTCTCATTGAAGGCTACAAAGACTGGGGCTCTTCCATCCCTCCCTCTTGTAACTGTCAATATCCGGGGAAATGCGTAAGTATTTCCCTTTATATAAAAAGGAGAGAAGATAACGCATTCTGATTTCTGAAGCCACACATTTATCAGGGTTGATTTTATTGGAGAAAGCTCCACACACTGGGTTTTTCTGAAGTGTCTATGTGGCTATGTAGATATTGTTTAAGCAACTCCATAAAAGCTCCAGTAGCATACCCAACCCAAAATTGGTAAAAATATATTTTGCTCATATAAATGAATATAAATGAAAAATATATAGAATCTTGCAAATAAAATCATAATATATGATATAATGTTGATAGACACTGGCATAGTAAACAACAAAGTGAGAAAAGATCATCCAAAGAGTGTTTTAAAAGTTGAAAAAAGAAGATCTGACATTATTGTTTGAACCCAATCAACAATGTCCGATCAACATGTCCTGGTTTGTCCCACCAAATTCAAAGCACCACATTACCGTTGAAACAAAGGAATAAAATGTCTGCAATGTGAAGGGCCAAATGAATGTCTCTTCAGTAACAGGTCAGCACCTCTAGGTGGAACCACAACCTTAATATTGTTAGTTATCTGGGAAGAGGCACTTCACACTTGTAAGTGTTGGTACATTTGTTTAAGACATGCAGAACATAACTTTGTGTTTTAAGAAGGGGTTAAGGGATAACATATTGCTATGTATCAACATTCAGAGTGTATATTCATATATTTAAATGGGCCCTAGTAGTTGTATTTTGATTTCATTAAATTGATGTTGATATATGTCTGTTACTTAGAAAACCGTTTTTTGTTTTAAACTCGTATCATAATGGGACGATTTGCTCCTCCCCAGATCCGACTACGGGGCAGTGCCACTCTCGGGGCTCCAAAGAACCAGTATGTTTATCAAGAGGTACATGAAATGAAGAGTTTTAAGAACAATACAGGTTTACTGGTCAAGTAAGATGTTTCTGTTAACTTTAAATATACTTTGATAGGTGTAGGCTTATCCGTCTTTGTTGAATTAACTTTATCTATTTCCGTGTATCTTCTGTTTCCCATCATGATTAAATCAACCTGCTCTTCTTTTTTACAGCCTTGTCTTCCAATTTATGTTTCTGAACTGAAGCTCGCATTCTCATTGGCGATGGGTATACAATTTGGAAGTGCAGTATTTTGGGTAAGCACTCCCCCCGCTCCCCCCGGCCCCCATATATTTATTTGTGAGGTTGGACCTAACACAGCTATGCTTTTGAAAACCAGCTCCATCGTTAGCTTGACTTGACTTTCCCCTGCAGGAACTTTCTACTCAGACTAGGAACCTTTGTTAGATTCTGCATTTCCATCGCAGGAACCAATGTCTAAATTTAGGTCTACAAATCACTGTTTAACTTAACAAAGTTGTCTGCTTTTAGGGGGAGTATTCCCCCAGGGTATAGGTACTTTTAGGTGGGGCTTGCAGTGTTGAACATTTTTCATTGGTTGACGGCTTGACGCATTTTGTTTCAGTCACCATTTAAAGAAAATTGCAGTCAAAAACAAATGACATTGCTTTATTTATTGTATTTGGACACAAAGAACATTGGTAAAGTTAATTTGGCAGCAGGAACTGTTCAGTTTCTACAAAAGTAGTTCCTGGAACTAAAAGTGGAAATGCAACTATATAAAGCTTTTTATGATCAAATTCAGACTATGGTGTCTTAGCTGACACCAAATACATTGAATAATTCATCTAGTTGTCTTCTACTTCTTTGTTACAAATTCATATTTCTTGTAATGAAGTTGACATCTTTCACGAGGACACTAGTAGATATTTGATCCTAAGTAAGCAAAAATCATGTGAAACCGAGCTGTAGGCCTTGATGAACACCAATCAGAGCTAACTCTTGTGCTTGTCTTTTAGGTGGTCTTACTCGTCATGAGCATCAAGCTGATGGGCCAGATTAGACGGAAACAGGAGTTCATGGCTCTCCTCCAATCAAACAGATATGTTCCTGGTGCCTTCTAGTCACCTCGTACGGTTTTTGATACACACTTCCAAGTTATAAGCAAAAAGACCTTATTTGAATTTGCACATATAAACTAATTATGCTGTACACCATAACCTGGCTAATTTGTGCTATAGCAACGTATGTTAATATTATCATTTTATAATACATTATTGCATGTAACGGATATTGAAAATTAATCTACATGCATAGATCCAATTAAAAAAAAGTCTTTTTTTGCCTTACTGCTGTAAAAAGCAATGCAATTTGAAAGAAATGTAATATTTAATATTCATTACATTTTCACATGCTTTTGTCGAAAATGCATATAATCCTAAGAGAGCATTTAGAAAGATGTTTGTTTTCTTTGCTGGAACCTTTCCTGTATTTTATCATTGGCAGTAAGTGTTGACTTATCGAGCTGATATTTTCCTCAATGAACCTTGAAGTGACAGATACTAATATAATGCATCTGCTGGCATAAAACTTTGAAATATGCATACATCTACATCTACCTTTTTTTGCTCTTGTGCAGGGCTGCAGCTACATGTTTCCTTTAATGTTTTATGGTCAGTGTCTCCATGATTCACAAAAGTCTATATTTGATGCACACCACTAAGACTAACAAATATAAGTGGACCAACCTATTTTACACATATATATATATATATATTTAGATGCTTGTCGTAATCTAAAGCTCACTCGTTCATTTTTCCAGCATTAGAGCAACTAATAATCTTTGATATATAATCCAACTAATAACCCGTATGTAGCACCTTTCTTAAACAGTGTTTACAAAGTGTTTGATTGAAATGTAATAATTGATTTTATAATTGAGCGATGTATTTTCTTGGGTACATAATCAGGTCAGACAGAGGAGTGAGCCATGGCTCTCATTGGGACACCAGAATGTCTTGATGCCTTGTTAAGCACATTTGAACGTTAATCCTTCTGTTTTATTCTGTTTTTGAAGCACAGTTAATGAGTTAATTATGTTAAATGATGTCCAATGGGAGGTGAGAAGACTCTGTTTGGTTGCACGTGCAGTAGACATGCAGTAAATCCTCAGTTCATGCTTCCAAAATGTGGTTTTTAATTTTATGGGATATGTCGGCCAGGCAGCTGCAGGAAGGTTTGAGAGGCTCTTTAAGGAAAGTAGGTCACCTATACTGATGCCAATCTCTCTGGAGAAGCCTTCTTCACTTCTCACATGACTTCCTGCATGGGCTGCCTGCGGTTCTAACATCTCTTTGATTAACATCCTGTCGAATGAATTTCATCTGAAACAGCAGATCCAATGTCTACCTGTGCACTTTAACCATAAATGCCTAAAATATGTTCAAATATGTGTTTGCAAAGTTGTTGGTGTTTTGATTTCTGTCACACTGTTTTTATTTTTATTTATGGGGATGAAGGTATATAATATTTTGTAAATAGCAGGAATAAAATATGTGATTCTTGTTCCTATGATGTCATGAAATCATTTCCATGAGTTAAAAAAAGTACTTTAATTACATGTTGTTTTAGAATCAGTTTAAAATCACTGGTTCTGTCTTTAACAGTGTTTTGAATTAAATGGGGATATACATATTAAAAAAATGTCCCCTCAAAGTGTAGTGGAGTAAAAATAAAGAGTGTAGATCAAATGGAAATACTCAAGTATAATGGTACTTGTACTTTACTTGAGTTAAAGGTCCCATATTATACTCCTTTTCAACTAGTTTAATTAGTACGCTGTCGCTTTGCCTGATTTATTTAGTCATGGGCATTGATGATTAGAGGTTTCTTTCTTTAGGTTATGCTGAGAGAGAATATTCAATTCAAACAGTCTGAAAATGCATTTTCTAGTTTCATACAAGCATCAAACACAAAAGGTGGGAAATAAAGACAAAATTCTGCAGTTCCTCAAGAGGCCACTTGAGGCTGGCTACAAAAGTGAGTTAATCGTCTCAAGGACCCTTGTTAAAATGCTCAATTTTACAGCAGATTTAAGCATGTTTGCACCATATTGGTCTCTACAGCTTGTTTTTATTCATAAAAACTGTAGGGGGTTGAAGTTTTATATTACTCACACAAAATAAATCATATTAGGCTTCAGAGACTGTAGAGATTTGATAACCTTGTGTTTGGCTAACCTCTTGATCTTCTTAAACTCTCTGGTCTAAATAATGCTGTATACATCTGGCTCTAAAGAAACCAACATGTCTGACAAAAAAGGAGCTTAGATACATTTGAGTGGGGAAAGACTGGAAAAAAATTGGTCAATAAAAAGAGAAGAAGTACTACTCAAAGTATGAAGCTAGGTGGAAAGGTGGGTAGGTGGGCACAATCATTATTGACAAATGTAGACTGATTGTACATACCCAGATTAATGTGATTCCCAGCATAACGCCAAATAAAGAATTCAATATAACCATTTGATGAGCGATCAGATGAGGAATGCATGGCTGAAGCAGGAGAGTGGATCAGTCAGCTTAATGTTTTATACAGCGTCTACACAAATATGTTCAGGCAGACTCAACAAGATTCAAGATGGACACTTTACACTGTATGTTTTATTGCTAAAACTCCACTCTGATCCTGTACTGCAAACCCCTCCAATTAAAGCCCTGCCTAAAACAGGCTGTTTCTGTGTGTGTAGCTTTAAATGCAAATAAGTTGTGTTAGACCACGCCCCCTCTCTGGAAGGGCTTGTGGGTGGCTTTAGGTTTTCTTGCACCATGCCCTATTGTTTATGGTGAGAAGGCAGAACATACACCTAGCTGCGGGAGTGTCAACCACCTGGGGGAGGGGTTACTGCCCTTTGTGATGTCACAAAGGGAAACTCTCCAAACAGCCAGTTTGAGATCACATTTTCTGAATAGTAGAGAAGGCAAAAGACAGAGAGGATGGACTTTCCTCATGATTTGTATGTAGGCTAGGGAAATAACAGATAAGTGATATCACTTCGCTATTCTATAGAGTTTATAGTTCATGGAAATGCTTTGACTATCAATTTCAGTTAACTGCTTGATGTCAGAAGCATCCAAAAGAGGAAAATAGGAAAATGCTGTAGAATGGAAAACAAGTTTCATACTTGATATTTGTTCAGATTTTTGGATATAAAGTTTGTCCTTTTTCAACAAGAGTGTCTGTTACCCCTTATATGCTCTGTACTAAATTACAAATTAAATTATGACAAAATTCAGCAACAGACATTCATTGCTGAGGTTTTAAATTCACAGATTATATAAGCATAGATTTAGATGAGTTTATTCTTGCATTGCACCTCAGTGTTGATATGGCATCTATTATACTTCAGAATGATCATTTTGAATTTATCTCTTCGAAAATCATGACGGGCTGGACACCAGCAGACTGTAAATCAGTGTTGTTCATAGGAAGCCACAGCAGGCTCAGTTTTATTGGGATTCATCATGCACACAAGGATAAACGTCTTTTCTTTTTGATGTCAAACATGCATACACAAATAAGATTTGAATAATCTGAGCATCACAGGCTACAGAACATAATGAAGATAGACGTGTGTTTCACAGGAAGCCACAAACCTCTCCAGCTGTCATGTCAGGAGAAATGTAGCTCTAGCGAAAGTTCAGACTATATTTTGCATGCTTGTTTTATTGTTTATTCTCATGCCATGTCAAATCACTCCTCCACGCATGCTCACTCATTATGTCTCGTAATCATCACCTGGTCACATCTATCCAATAGCACTGCGCCACTCCCTCAGTGTTAGCCTATCACATTACCGCTGTCTTGTTTAAAAATGGCTTTCTCTTCCACTAGTTCATTCATGCCATCGTTACGAGCGACCCTCCACCTCCCCATCACCACCAAGCCTTCGCAAGTTCATCACCTCCTTCATCCCATCAGCCATCGTCCGGTTAACCCCAGTCTTCGCAGTTTGCCTCAGATGACATCATTAACCATCTCCTCATCAACTCCAGTCTTCACAGTTCAATCAACTTCTTCATCACATCAACCCAGACGACATCATCTGCTAACACCTCCACCACCAGTGTCTGGACTCTAGGGGGGTTAGATGTTGTTGTCGATCAGGGAATACATCTTCAATCACCCTGTAGAGTTCGAGTGCCAAAGATTCTCTGACAATCATTCTATGTCACATATGTAAAAAAAAAACTTTCATCTTTGAGTCATTTACTTGTCTCTCCTGAATGAACTAAACATAATCTCACAGTAAAGGAGATGTAAACAAGTCACACTACAACAAAAGCACAAAAATTAAAGGCTTCTGTCTTTAGGGAAGAAATGACCTGTGATTCTTTTTGTCAAATGTAGTATGCTATCTACAGTAAGTGGTGCTAGAATCTTTACTGTTTCTTTCCAACACCATCAGCTTGATATAGTTTGGCAAGGAAAGGAAGATTTTCAATCCTGTATATTAAAGTTATCTATCTGTATGCTGAACCCCCGACTTTATCTGAAAAACCTGGCCAAAACATCTTTCAAGAGTCCAAACCAGATATGTTCAGTTTCTCAAGAAAACTGAATCTGGAATAAATCCCTGAGTTCAGTAGTCTGATCCCAACCTTAGATAAAAATATTTAAAGCTACCATAATGATAAGAAATTTAAATGTTTCCTGTATTTTCTGGCTTAGTTACTGCGTAGTAGCATTCTTCTCAAGTAACAACCTCTGGTGATGAAAAATTACGCAATGCAAAAAAAAAACTGCAGTCCCTCAATTGTCCACTTGAGGCTGGCTTCAAAAGTCAAACTATTCCCATTGGAGTTCATATGAAGCTGTCTATCTTAAAGCAGAAATAAACATGTCTAAAGCCTGGTTCAAGAAACGATTTTTATCTGTATGGCTCATTTCTTTATACGTAAAAACTGTAGTGGGGATGATGATTTGTCTTTAATAATCTCCAGTTTTGATTGTATTAGGGTAAATAATTATGCATAATTCTGATTGCATAATGCATCGATTGCATGATTTGACTGACGGTTGGTGGCTTTGTAGCTGTTTGCCAGGAGGCTAGACTTCACTTTTGTTTAATCCTTTTATTGACCTTTAACCGTTAACTTTGTTTGTGCCATTTCTTGGTTTTTCATTATGCTAACTATAGATGACGAGCAACAGGATGTGGATGTGTTTTAGCAGCCAAGGTATTTATATGACTCCACCTCTTAGCAAAGGTTTGTTGGAGTCATTGTTTTTAAAATTGGGGCTACCATCATTGGGCTTCACAACACCTCCTCAAAAACCAATGGGTGATGACAATGATAAACAGTTTTACCAATGAAAACTATATATCAATGGGACCTACTACAAAAAAAGCTTGGCGCAAAATTCTTTTTTCCCCACTCACACATGGATTGATGGACCCTTCAGCGCACAGGCAGGACTCTGTGATGTTGTCGCCCCAGTCAAGGTATCCCAGATCCAGTCCACAACACTGAAACTATAAATGAAGAGGAACTGGTGAAGAAAATATATACTTATATATATGTATTTATTCAAACTATTACTGCATCTGAATTGAGGTACTCAAAACTGCTTCTGAAAGCCATAGTGCTCTACAACAATAATTTTCAACTGAATGAATGCATACACACACTAAGACAGGGCTACAGACTTCCATCTCTACTTCCTGGACAACTTCTAGAACATCTTCTGTAGCGTCAGACAAGGGCAGCCAACTCAGGTATCTCATCCTTAAATCTTCAGACATCTGCAAATAAAACAGAACTAAATACCTTTCGTTAATTAACACGGAACAGAAAGGGTTCATTTTGTTAGGTACATTTTTGATTCACAAATCAAAACCAAAAACAACAGAAAGTTAAAAATGGGCAGTTGAACAGTATTTCAGATCTAAAATGCCTTAAGTTATAACAGTTATTGAAAATGTGAGAATCCTTGCCCTTGGCTTATCATATGTACAGTATAGCAACTGTAACTGACAGACAAAGAAGGTTAGCATGAAATGTTCCTGCTAGCTGAAATTATATCAACGGTAGAGCGGTAATGAGGCTTTAAGCTCCTGTCTGGTAGTTATGTATTACTTTTCAGTGTCTGTTTCTGTATGAGTTTAGTACAGGGTCTAAAAATAGAAATGAAGAACACCTTTCAAATTGAACTTTATGATACCTTAGGTTGCACAGCCAGTACTCCAATTTCACAAGCAATCAGATGCAGGCTGCAGAGGATCATTCCCACTGCAGACTGAACACACAGAGAAACCCACACACTTATGGGCATGAGCATTTACATTCACAGTACTGTATAGTTGTTCTACAACATTAATTATGAGGAACAGTTAAAGGTTTTGTTTTATTCTCTTCTTGACCCACCACAATGAGCGCCCACTTCTTCTGCTTGCAGACGCCATACACACCGATGATACCGAAGAGCAGAGGAATGAGGTTATGAGTGTACATGCCATATAGAAGGGTAGGCTATTCTCTATCTGTGGAGAAAACAAACACAGAAACAGGTCAGATGGATTGGTAAACAGTGAAGAGTCCAATCATCTTAGCTGGCATGAATGCACTATGCACAAAGTGGCTGAAATGTCATCTTTAAATCCTGCAGCTGATACTGACGTCCAGATTGGAGTTGGACTATCGTGTATGTGGAGGGGAGTTTAGCTTGACATAGATGGAGCAGTATTTGTCATGTTTTTTTTTTCAATGCAAACTTGCAATGACTGTTTCAGCCTTCATTTTTTGATATGGGTGGTCCAATTTTGACTTTAAATCCTTTATTTTTATTGTCCGGCTTCAAAAAAGGCGATTGGAAATGCATGTGTATCAATGTACGTGTGCATTATAAGAGAGGGAGGCAACGTGCAGCCTTGCGTACAGTTATAATACACCTACAGGGACACACAAACAAGCCAAACCACATGTTGCATAATAAGGTTCCCATAAACGGCACCGTGTGAAAATCAAAGTGAGGAAGAGGAGGAGTGTTACGTTCCCCAAGATGGCTAAGGGATGAGGGGAGTAATAATAAATTAAAACTCAGGGAAAAGAAATAGGAACTAAATATAAGCAAAGTTTAAAATGATTTAATAACAAACTAAATCAAAATGTGCAACACAAAATAAGCTTCTTCTGAGAAACACAAAACAAAAGAGAAGCCAATTCAAAACTAACACTCAAGATATGAACAATTAGGCCTTAATCGGAACACAAAGCTTCCACAGAAGGATCACACTAAATTTCTAGTCAAAGACACGCTCAGTCAAACGACCCACTGGCAACTGGCAGCCTCCTCTCTCCTGCTCTTTATAGTTTGCCCCTGATTAGTAATTAGCCACAGGCACTCTGAGGCTGAGGAGCAACACAGCAGAGAGAGAAAACACAAAAACAAAACTGCGGCACGTAACAAGGAGGAAGACTGAAGGCTTAATTATAGGTGTACACACTGATGTTTTTTTTGCTTGTTTCATTTAGGCTTTCATGTTATCTGGTGATATAAGACCTTAAGATAAAAAAGAGAAAAACAGCCTCAGAAATGAGGCTGTTTGATAATTGATTCATCTCTGAAGATTTTTTTAAGCTTTATTGTAGAATTCCAGTTACAGATATGAACATGTTGCCTTTCAGAAACAGCAATTCAAAACCATGACAAATTCATCAATCAATCCTACAAAAGGGATTTTTTCCCCCCATTATTTTCTGATATTTTATACTAAATATAGGGGAGAGCGGGGCATGTTGTCACACTGGTTATATCTCTATCACCAGGTGGCGCTGTCTAGAATTATAACCGTTGAATGTGCAACTTACAGTTCTGAAGTCATTCTGCTACTTACACTGAAATTTGAGGTGAGAACAATTTTGATATTTTTACAACATTAAAGTCAAAAAACTTAATTGTACATTTTACGCCATAAACATTTGATTAGTAAGTATGCTCAATTGGGTATATTTTACACAGAATAGAGGAGAGAAAATGTTTATTTTGATACCTGAACCAAAGTCCTGCGCTAAAGCTAGCTTGCGGCATAGCTAGCAATAGCACACGTGTCACTCTGGAGCAAGTTGTCTCAGTGATTTTGTATATCTCAGTATACATATATTACAACATTTTCCAACTGCAGAACTGCAGAAGCCAACTTTTCTAGCTGTTAAAGTAATTTTTTGCTATGCAACAATGTAAACAACAATGTGTGTGTTGATATAGGCTACTGCTTCACAAAGTATTATTAGTAGAAATTCAATTGTTATAAATGATGTGGCCACAAAATGGTAAACATATACAGGAGGGTGCTTAATAAGCATTTCATTTAAAAAAATATTTATTGATGAAATGATTTTTTTGTATGTATATGCAAGCAGAGGGAAGAACATAAAGAAGGACAGAAGGGAAGCCTGCTAAAATGGTTCGAAATTATAAACGAAAGACCGACAATGGCAGTACACCAGCTGACATAATGTTAAGGGCAGTGAGGCAGGTAAAACTTGAAAATAAGTCAATAAGAAGTACTGCCAAAGAGTTCAGCATTAATTATAGGACTGTCAAAAGATGACATCTGTAGAAATTGAGGGTCAGATGACGATGCCAACATCAGAGGTGGGCTATGTTCAGCCTAGGCAGATTTTCCCAACTGACTGGGAGATCCAACAGGTTCATTTCATCATTAAGTCAGCTGACATCTACTGAGGGCTGTCACCAAGAGAGGTCAGGAAATTGGCTGTGGCGTGCCAATTAAAAGTGCCACAACAAGCCACTGCTGAGTGGTTCACAACCTTTTTGAGGAGGCATCCAATGCTGTCATCGAGAAAGCCAGAGTCCACTAGTCTTGCCAGAGCAAGCAGTTTTAACTGTGTCAATGTTAATGCCTTCTTTGATGTAGAATTAGTGCTACAGAGGCATCAGTTCGGACCAGCAGACATCTGGAACCAGACAGAGTATAGCTAGACGTGGATTCAAGCAATAATTAATTCCAGATGAATCAATAAAGCAAGATATCTTAATCGAACTAGGTTGAGTTTAGAATCTGAACATCACTGTTTGTTTCCAATATGGGAGTTGGCATGAATGTGACCATAATAAAAGGCGATCACACCCATCTGATGAAATGTATCTAGGCTATTAAAGAAAGGCTACATATGTAGCGATTAGACTATAATTGTCCAATGATGTATCATTTTCACCCCCCCCCCCAGCAGATTCTAACTTCAGCTGACCCCTCATTGACCATCTGATGCGTCACTCTCTGCAGCCTTTATCAATTATCGATTCTGTCTTTATTTAAAATGTAAAATTAAGTAAAACACCGGGATCAAACCTGTCACGATAATGTAACTCCGCTTCAACAACACGTTTACTCTCCCCATGTCGTTTCAGAGAAAGTCGAGAGAAATGGATGCAATAATTTTGAAACCTTTCCCTTCTATTACATCCACATGCCACAAAGAGAAAGAGACAGAGAGAAACCAGGGCCGTATCCGAATTGTCAAGTACATACTGAATCTTTCAGTATGCAGTAGGTAGTATGCAGTACATACTATCCGTGCTGCATACTGTTAGTACCTACCAAGCAGATATTTGTGCCAACTTCTTCTGATTCATTCAGTATGGAAGTGACGTCATTTACGTTTCCTGAACCGGCTGCATCCACCGTTTTTTTTTTGTTTTTTTTGTTTATCTTTATTCAAGAAGAGTAATGCGCATATACAGTCAGGTAAACAAAAAACAATATCACAATGTAAATCAAGTAAAAGGCAGATTAAATAACTAAATAACATACAGTACATACAGGAAAGTACAAATGAAAGACAGTAATATACAGAATATAAAATAAACCAATAAAGACACATTCAAACAGTGAAATCATTATTTAAATAGAGGGGGAAAGGTTTTATAATAATGCAGATATTTGTTATATTTTCTGTTGTTAATTTAAAGTAGTGATTTCAGTCGGGACTTTAACTCTAGATTAAAAATTGATTCAATTAATCCACGCAATTCAATTAGTCCGCTTGGAGGCGGACGTGACGTGACAATTTACGTTTAATTTCGCACAGCATTGTGGGTGGTAAAACATAATTAATTTCCTGAAAGCACGCATCCGATCCATACTGCATGAAACCCGGAAGGTAGTATGCATACTGAAATGTTCAGTATACTGAGGTGGACCCAAAAAATGCATACTGAATGACCACGAAAGTTCAGTATACTGAAACTCCATACTGAATAGTACGTACTGCATACTGAACTGTGACAATTCGGAAAGGGCCCAGATCTGGAGAAAGGGTAGCTTCCCGTCAGTGTTGATGGGAGGTGAACAGAACGGTCGAGGAAAATAAATGTGATTGTTTTAGCAGCTTTCAGCTTGCAAACTGTAGCTTTATCCAACTAAATTCTCAGCTCATTGGCTTATTATTCACCACCGGATGTTCTCAGTACGATCGCGAGCAGAACTAAACGTTCGGCTGTATTTCAGCTTATTAAATTCTGATTCACAGACAGAGCTGCAGAGAAGTACTGAACGATTCAGTGAACGAATCTTTTGAACGAATCACTTTACTGAACTGATTCTACTGATTCAGTACACTGAAAAGAACTGCTTTTCACATCACTAATGGGAGGAGAAAGTCCCCAACACGTTTTTCCAGTTTGAAGACTGTCGACAAACAATTCAAGTTGGAAATTCGAAGGGTGGGGCTGGAGACTTGGAGGATGGTACAGATGTCTCATTAATGTTTTAAAAGTGGATTTAAATAAAGTTTATAATGGAAAAAACAGCGAAGAAGACGTTCCTCATGTTAAAGTAGACTAGTTCCACGCATGACTGTTGACATTAGGCTGCATGTTTTTATGACACCGTAACTTTCATTGTATGAACATACTCATTAAATGCAAAACATTTTTTTTTTATTTACTAACGAAATTATACATTTTTATTGAAAAAATGCGGCAATCCTCTTCTATTTTAGGTGAAGCCTGTATTTAATAATATGCATAAAATCCTTGTTCCTTATCTTTATCATGTCTAGCAAAATCAATACAAACATCACAAATATAAAAAGCCTACCTTTGCATGTGTGATGTTGCCATAGAGCTTACACAGCTGATTAAGTCATATTAAAGGCTATATTCTCCTTTTATGTATGGGATGAGGTAGTGACCTGAAGTCAAGCTTCAGAAATGCTGTTTAAGAAGGAGAGAGAGCGCTTTATGCATTTTGATTTTCTTCTTTGGCACCCCCAAAAATTGTAAAACAATTAGCCTATAATAAGTTGCATCTGAACAGAACACAAGAACATCCTCATAATAGTGCCATGCAACACTAATATGATGTTCCACTGAAATCATATTAGCATCAAATTATAAAAAATAAAATGGCCCAAAACACTGCAGTAACTTCTTCAAAAAACATGTAATTAAAAAGTTGGAAACAATACCAAAGAAAAGTCACAGAAGTACAAGACCACAGGAGGCAATCATACATTTTTATTAAAGCTTTTACACATTCAAATAGTAAATATTTGCCTGTATTAGTGCATACCTTTACCTGTTTGACAATACATATTTTAACAAAAGGTGCTAAATCAGGGCTACAAAATCCCAAAGTTCACATTCATTGGTGCGGTGGATAAAAGCAGGTGTCATCAGAGATGACTGAAATCAAGGTTTCAATGCTTGAAAAACAAACAACCAATAGACATAAAGTTCCACTAATTTAACTTTGTTGAGGGAACTTGCTGTATCTGAGTATGCGCCACATTGTATCCCAATCCAATCGTTTCCAATGGTTCCCAAAACCATCATGGCAAAATTTGCTGACATGAAAAGCAGCCTGAAAATCAAACTCAGGTTGTGTCTGCAGCGTCTGAGAGCACGATGTAGTTTCCTGACTTTGCCTCTGGACTGTAGACCACTGTCGGGGTTTTCTCTTTCTGATTAAGCCGGCACAAGATCAGGATACACAGCACCACTGACAATAGCTACAAAGACAATAAAGAAGACATGGTTATTTATTTCCAATGCATTTCATGGTGTTTCATCCGTTGTTTATAGATTATTGAAGGGAGCTGGAGGGAGGGTGGCAGAACAGCCAGATAAAAGCAGGGACAGAGGATCAAAATCAAATAAATGACAGCTGCTGCAGAGCTGTCATTTATTTTATTAAGACTTGTGTCAAAATGTCTGCTGTGAAACAGGTCTATTGCCGTATAGCTGGCGTCAAATAAGGTAAGATAGGATGCTTGGTTTAAATCCTAGCCAGTTCAAGACCAACACAGTCCATCAGGGCCAATCTGAGTGTGAGTTAGGGACCGTATTCAAATTATAAGGACAGCAGAAAGAGTAAGAAAAAGTGGGAGTGTTAAGTTTTTACTTCTGTCAGTCACAAATTTCTTAATTTCATATCAGCCTTCATTTGAATCATGTACAGATGTCGCCTGTATCCACATTATTCATGTGTTATGTCTTGAAGTATTGCTAAGAGAGATTATTTACGTTACATTAAAAAAATAACCCAAAAAATTGGAGACGGTTATAGCAACCAAGAATCTTACTATGAGTGAAAAATGACAACAAACTAGTAAATTCTCCAGCTTTTCATTTAGCCATTGCTCAGAGACTGTACATCTGTATAACTGTATAACCTTGTATATTGCTCACCCCTCGCTTCTCATGGGCGCTACCTTCTAGTCCAAATATGGTCACATTTAGCTCCACAAAAAACAACCACGGCTGCTGCTTTTGAAAAAGACAGTTGACAGACCAATGGGTGACATGACATCAAAGCAGCTAAGTCCATTTTTAATACAGTCTATGGTGTCATTTAGTCCCAACAAACTTTACCAATATGACTGAGGAGCCTGTATACCACCTGAGAGGCAAAACCCAGGGTGCAAAATGTCAAGCTATTGACTCACCCCTTGCTGCTGCTTATGAAGGTTAACCTTTTACTCTGTACGCACAGTAATAACACAGTAAAAGGTGAAAGTGTTGCTATGTCTGAGCTTAAACCCTAAACCTCAGTTTTGAATGAATGAATAAAGGTTAGCTGGAAAAATAAGAGCAAAGTAAATAGTAAGTAAATAAAACATCTGAGTGGCAAAAGAGCTGGAAAAGTACTGGTGGATAAATACCAGCCAGTGGAGGTATGTAGCTAGGTAGAAAGGTGGGTAGGTGGATACAATAATTATTGACTCATATAGACTGACTGTACATACCAAAAGTAATGTGAGTCCCAGCATTACGCCCAAAGTATAATTCATTGCAACTGCATGATGAGCGATCAGATGTGGAAGGCACGACTGAAACAGGAGAGTGGATTAATCAGTGTAATGTTTTTTACAACATCTACATTTACATCATCATCATCATTATTGGCAGACTCAGGAGTCCATTAGAAAACAGATAAAAACAAACAAGGTCAAAAGACAAACAGACAAATCACCACCAATATTATACAGCTGTACCAGTGTCTCCACAGGGATGACTGGTTGTCAGCAGTTTCTCATAACAGCCTGTTAACACTTTTAGTACAAAGTCGTTCACTTGCACTAGTCCATCAAGTTTTTTTTATAGTATCCTCATGGGGTCCTTATCCCTATCCCAACACACGATCAGTTTTCTACCCGTTCAGCTGTTGAGATAGATCATCCATGTAAATATATTTGTCGATTAACAAAAAAAAGAGTTCAGGCAGATTCAGTAAGATTCAGGGAGGAGTTACTCCACACTTAAAATTTCAAATCAATAATAGAAAATAATCTCATGTGGTTGAACTGGTAACAGCATGTAAGCAAGTGATGAGGAGTTAAAGTATATTGTCCTGCATCAGAGGGGGAAATCACTTTTCTTTTCTAAAGAATTTTTTAGTAGTCGTCATTTGTGAACCATTTGATGTCAGAATCATCCCAAAGAGACACTTCTCAAATCCAAGTCTTGAATCTTGAGGTTTTTTGATTGCATTCACTTAAAGTATAACGTTCATCTATTTTCAACAAAGGGCCTTTTTTATGGGTTTTTATCTATTTTATTCCCCTGAAATAAAGCATTTGAAATGTAGTACTGTGACTTGAATTCAGATACTGTATCTATGCATAGATGTAGACAAGCGTATTCTTGCATTGCAGTTGAGATTCAGTTCTCAGAATGTCATTAATGATATGATCAATCAAAACCATAGAAATCGACATTTTCAATCGTTTATTTTCCATTACCTCTTTATAAATCCTTATGGGCTTGACAGTGCCTCTCGGCGTTAGACTGCCACTCCAAGGTACTAACTCCTAGAAAACACCAGCATGAATCAACAAGATGAATGACAATAGGTACGAGTGAACAAACAGAGGAGAACATCATTAAGGTCAGGCTG